ACTGGATCAGGTGCAGTGGCAAGGGCCGGATGAGGACGAGACCACATGATGATTTTGTCGGTTGTGATAGCCGGGTAAGATCCCGTCTTGAAGGCAGTGGCATAGTACGACGTCATATTAAGCCATCCTGTCAGGCGTAAGTCGGTATTGTGATACAGAACTGCAACATAGCTCACCAGTATGGTCAAACCCATCCACCCACGCCTCACTCTGTGGTTGAGCACCTTCAATGGGACCAATATAATGGGACTCTCCGTAATCGTTCCAACTGATGAGTTGAACGACATCAACTTGGTCTCGAATTCCGATAACATCTTCCCAACGCCTCGAATACAGGTGGTCGTCACTCAGGTATATCCACTACAAAGACCGCTAGGCGATCAGAATCACTCGCTTACAGCGGAGTACGACTTACGTTCTTGTTGTAACTCTGGGGACCGTAATGTGTAAAGAACCAAGGGGACACGGCGGCCATATATGTCTGCTCAGGGTTCATAGAATGTAAAGCATTGATGTATTGCTGATCGGTGGAGGTCACTCCGACGAGCGATGCAAGCGGATTGAGTACAGATGCCGCACCGGGGAACAGCCCACCGACTAGGTTGGTTAAAGATGCCGCGAATGAAGTAGTGACTTGCGTGGGCCACCCAGAGTTCCACTATCAGAATATTATGGGTGGGCTTGGCAGCGAGATACGGAATTCATACTTACATTGAACATCCCGTTTATCACGCCATTGTAACTCTGGAAACTAGAAGGGTCCACGAAAAAGGAGGGGACGAAATGAACAGCATCTGTTCCAGACAGCTGTCCTAAAAACTGGCTGGACCATCCTGACTGAACCGACCCTTGACCAAACTTGCATGTCTCGCCAGAGAAGGTTGAGGCGAAAACACGACCGTTGTAGACAAATTGGTTTGGATGCGAAGCATATGTCGTGATATAATTCCGCAGTGTAGCGGCATCATTGGCGTTGCCACACGGAAGAGACCTAGTGAATTGGTCAGTAAACGATCACGCTCGATAAAGAATGAACGCACGACATATCAGAAGGACAAGAAGAGCTTGAAGCCTGTCCCAGACTGCTTTGCAGCCTCATAACTATCTCGATGTAAGTTAGACACGCACTGGGAGTGATACAGACAACACTCACGCGTTTGCGACTTGCTGGGGTTGCCAGCTATCGCGTCCGACATTCAGAGCGAACCCGTCGATTCCACTCTGATATGCAAGTAGCACATCCGATTTCCAGTTGGCCAAGGTATATGGGTAGGAATTCCCGACCATGAAATGAGCTACAACGTATTTAGTGGTGGAGTTTCTTCTGGCTAGAGGCTGGAAATCGATTTCTTGAGGGGTGCGGACGAGAGAAGAGCCAAACTCATGTGCTAGGTTTAGTTCCATCCTAAGTTTGGTCGGAAGAGAGATAGTAAGGTTAACGAATAATAGCCAGGAGAATATCTTGAAGGCGGCGAGCATGTCGAGGAAACTAGGAACTTATGGACTGGCGAATATAAACGAATGCGAAGGATAAAAGAGAGTCTCGGCGCAGCCGCACAATACAAGAGGGACGAAGAAAGAAAGGAGATAAGCATTAGGGAAATCGTGAGCCTCACTTTATATAAGAGAGCACAACAGTTTTGACCATACAATGAACTATTACATCGTAACCACCGAAGTTACAGTATTGTCCAAGTTACATAATAGCCCGTTAATAGCCATTGAGCCAGTCAGATTTGGCGTTCACGATCACGTGACGTTCGGTGGCTAACTACCTCAACCCCTGACAGTGAGACAATGCTAAGTGACGATCCAGGACGTTCCTCGTTGACACAGTAATACAACGCTCTTCGCACCGATCTCGGAGCTTTATATAATGCAAAGGTCTTGAAAATGACATTGAACAGACTCTATGCTATGGATTCAACCAGTAGATATTGCTGAATAAAGTTAAGGGCTTCTCGCAGCTTCTACTCAAACTTTGCGGCTCAAGTCGAAGGCTCGTCTGACTTGGCTTCTTGAATCCTAGGGAGCTCGGAGGGAACAGGCGCCGCTTCCTCAGGTACATTATCAGTTTTATCCTCTGTAGACGACTCCGGCTGTGAAGAAGCACTAGCGGAGGAAGCCTCCTCAGTAGATGTTACCCCCTGGCTTTGCTACAGTTCCGTGTTCTTGAGCGTCTTTGGGGGGTCAGCTTCCTAGGCAACAACTGAGAAACCCAAAAGCGTGAGGAAGAAATGGCATGACTTACAGAGCTATTTTGTGGCGACTCCTTGATATCCTCTCCAGAAACCTTGGCACCTTCATCATCGGTCATTGAAGGTGTCTCCTGTACTGGTTCGGGTACTGCATCCTGCTACAAGGGCAGAGTGGAAATCATGCATTTAAGCCATCCAGACCCCCCCATACACGCAAACGTGACGTACAGCATGTTCATCCTGTAAAAGGTGATGAGACCGTGGTCATTGCTCCATGTCAATTTCTCACATACATGATGACTTTTGTGCTCGTGACTTGCGTGTCCGTGGGGGCTCTTGCGCGCTGACGGAGAGATGAGGTACAGGAACTGCAGATACTGTCGATCCAGTGAAAGAGTCAGACGTGTTCATGTACTCACTGCAGGACCGAACACCAGCGCAGACCCGATCTAATGTCAGGAAAAGTAATGCATCAGTACTCTGGAACGTATTCCTAGTAGGGTAAGCGCACAATCCATGGCGAATCGCTACCTGTTTTATGCCAACTATGAGGGTCAGAGGTACTAATCATGCGCCTGCCAAACGCCGTGCGGGAAGCAGTGCGGGTAACTGCCTTAGCTCGAATAGTGGAGCGCAGGAATGGAAGGAGGCGTTGTGGGGCGGATCTCGACATCTAGAGGAGCTGTCTGAATGAGAAATGGGTCGAAGGGGATGTAGTAGTGAAATGGATGATGTCGGATGTATCCTGGGACTGCAATAAATTTCGGTGACGTTGTTGGTTGATGTCCGTTGTGTGAAATTCGCGGAGAAGACCGGAAGCAGAATGTCGGTAGCTCAGCTCCATTCAACATTGTACTGTATTGAATATTCGGATTATATTCAAGCCACATGCGCTCCCACCAAAGGCGATGGTGGTCGCTGGTCGACATAACTTGTCCGTGAGTTAACGTGTTTTGCATTGTCCCAAAATGTCTACGGTTGACATGTGCATTCCCTCCTTAGTTGACCAGAAGGTACCTCGGTCCTCGATATTCGCCCATCTTCCACCAACCACCATGCTTAAACCTTGCAAATCTATCATACGCTCGACTGATAAATATCGGAAGTAAAGTCAAAAACTGTACTAACAAGAAAGGGATGCTGGGCTTACCACTTATCTCCCATCTCTATTCATCTATAGATCTATCACTTTCCAATCACCATGTCATCTTCCACATCGCTATCCTCGAAGGGATCGGGATTGCTAATGACCATAACCCTTCTCCTGGTGGTGCGCTGCAAGCCTGCATCCTCATTCTGATACTGCGCCGAAGCGAGGACTCGAAGTCAGTGCAGCAACTTATTGCCACAGATGCTCGGGTCCTACCTTTGGCGGTTCTTGCCACTGGCTGGATATTTGCGCCTCTTGCCAACGCGTTCGTCCTCCCTGGGGTATCCTACTCATGTAATCGCTCTCCTGTATCTCCCTCTCTGCTCGTGCGGACCATGATCTCGGGAAATCGGTGTACCGAACGTCGCCACGATTTCGCCTACCCGACTGATTTTTCCATGGTCTGCGCTGCGTTATGAATTCCACTGCGAGGTTAATCAAGTCTCGAAGGAACTCCTAGGTGATAAAGATAGACGTGAGCTAGGGCTCGTCAAGAGTGTGCTTTATCGAACCCTCACCAGTATTGACATTTTTCGCTTCGTGGTTGAGCTGGCCACGAGGATGCCTGGTGCTCATACATCGCAGGGTGATTTAAGTATCCGCGGTATGCATGTAATTCCCGCCTATAAACGAGCACAGCAAGCAGACCTGGAACCTAATTACTACCTACCAGCATCCACTATCCACTGAGCTCCCCGTTGTCTGATGCAGGCCTGCTTGCTGTTGAGTAATCTGGGTTAATCTCCATGTGATGCGAGTTAATTTTGGGCCCTCAGACGTGAGCTGTATGGCAGACACGCATAGCTACTACTCGCATTAAACTCGCGTACTATGATCATATGTGCTACATATCTGGGTCACGTTGAGAAGGCAAGGATCGATGTCCTTCCGATTCTGGGTCTCCTTCACCCAGTTCCTGTAAGTACTTATTACCGAAGCCTGAAACCACCACATCCGAGTATCCGGGTTACTTCAAGCATCCGGACCACCACCATGCCGCATTGCCGCCAACCGTCATCGCGTCATCATGCAATGGCGGCCCGTTCGAAGAACAAGCTGCACCCACACGATAAACTCGGAAATTGTGAAGAGGTATCTGGAGTCCACGACATCAAACTTGCTCCATTCGAGATGCCACTTTGTATTTCGGCTTCACCAGCCCCTGTCACCAGCGCGAAGAGGCCTGCTGTCCCGCAGGAACGAGTTCTTTGAACGCTCGAGCTGCACGGCGCTATATTAATATGTGCTCCAACTGCCTGGTCTCGTGCGCGTGCGAGCGTCCGTGAGGCAGAAATGCCTCGCATCACAAAAACTAGGACGCGGGCAGCCTCACTGGCAGAAGGATGCACTCAGAGAGCCTCCTCCTGGACCACCAATTGGTTGCCCATCATGCGCGTGTGGTCGATGGGGGGGCGTCATCGTCGATATGTCGTAGCCCACCGTATAACATTAACATCTTCCGGCGTCCATCGAGATAAGCGGTGTTAAGGCGCACTGCTGTTTTAAAAGTGTGTAAGAGATGGTACATATCGAACCTTCGCCGACTCGAGTTATCGCCGCAAACCAAACTTCGCCGCCATATCCTTGACCATATCTAACATGATGGTTCGCACGGAACTGACATTGATTCTCTATGCAAGCTTTCGGAGTACGCCCGCCTAGCTCAATTGGTCAGAGCGTCAGACTTTTACGGCGGGTTTCACACCCAGTGATCTGAAGGCTGCGAGTTCGACCCTCGCGGTGGGCTAATGGTTTTCCTTTTTTTTCCCGTTGGGGTTTTTCTGCCCGCCGTTCAAGAAGACTCGGACACTCGAGTCACACAAATACTTTGAACGTATACACCAGACATATAAGATACACTAGCTCAGGTGAACCCGCGCAAGCGCGGGTCTCTGAGCAGGGGGCTTTGCCCTCAATGATACGTCAGTAAACCACAAAAATGTAACTTCACACAGTAATGTATACAATGCTACAGCAATAAGGCCTCTTCCACAACAGACTACAGCAAGCCACAGCTGCAGCACACTGCCACAGTGCTACAGCAGTACCACAGTAGCCTACAGTATAGTACAGTTTATTTATTATAAAATGTCTGCTTTCCTAATGGGAGTTGACGTCGAAATTTGGGAGTCGAATGTGTCACGTGACCGAGCATTGTTTTTACAACTCTGCTATAGGTCGACCGCCACTCAAAAATGGACTCACCACCTCACTGACGACCGCGTCGCCTCAAAAATGGCCTCGTCACCTCAAAAGCAGTCCTGTCGCCTCAGAAACAGCCCCGTCGCCCCAATAACGAACCCACCACCCCAGTAACAGCCCCGTCGCCTCAACAATGACCCCACGACCTCAGTAGCAACCCCGTCGCCTCACAAACTACCCCGTCGCCACAAAAACGGCCCCATCACCTCAAAACCAAACCCGCATCGCCTCAAAAACGGCCCCGTCACCTCAAAAGCAGTCCTGTTGCCTCAGAAACAGCCCTGTCGCCCCAATAATGAACCCACCACCCCAGTAGTAGTCCCGTCGCCTCAACAATGACCCCACGACTTCAGTACCACATCGCCGCAAAAACCGCCCCGTCACCTCAAAACCGAACCCGCGTCGCCTCACAATCAGCCCCGTCACCTCAAAAGCAGTCCCGTTGCCTCAGAAACAACCCCGTCGCCCCAATAACGAACCCACCACCCCAGTAGCAGCCCCGTCACCTCAAAAACATTCCCGTCGCCTCAAAAACAGCCCGTCGCCTCAAAACCGAACTTGTCACCTCCAATGCCTCGTCCACACTCTCAATACCTCACCTGCTTGCATCCTGATAGTTTTTTGTTGTAACTACATACATGAATATAATTTTTTTTTCTGACTGCAACATGATCTCAATGGTAGTTCTAGTAATTAGGAAAAGTGAGCCTGTCGAGTGATGTGTAGCATTGATTTAGGGCTGTCTCGAGTACTGAACTACACCTTGAGGCAGACAGGAAGCAAGCTGTGTAATCACGTGGAAAGACGTTGGTCCATGGACTTGAAGCAGCCAATCAGATTACAGAGTTGTCTCTTGAAGTTGTGTCTCGTTCTCACGACCGGTCTGGGACTGAGCTGTTTTCTTATGTTTAATTTCGAGCTGCAGTGAGCAGTTTATCTACGTTTATAGGTGCACAATCATCTTGTGTGTGCGGAACAACACGGGCGAAAAAGAGGAGAAAAAAGAAAAGAAAAAAAGAACCTCACATCCCCATACCTAAGCACTGGCATACATACGTTTTACGAAGTGTCATATTTGTCTTAGGAAAAAGTGTACCAAGTATTCTGAGGATTCGCTTTGGGCGAACTGATCGCCTTGGACCATGGAACGTACCGTGAGATGGAAATGTTGGACCGGAATGCCTTCAGGCCTCTAAGAAAGACGGACAGATAGGATAACTAGGTAGATGAAACTTGGAAAGGCTTATTTCTGAAGGTCAGCTTCTAGCCAGGCCTTGCCTGCCGCCATGCCGATCGCAGACGGCCGCCTCAAGTGGGCTTGTAGTATATGGTCGTGAGATACTGCAAAGTCTGTGAGTGAGACGGTGATAGATGCACGTGAAACATGATTACCTTCTGGCGATAACGCGTCGTGTTCCCCACTGCGAGCACGCCATTGCGTATAGCGCTCGTACTCAGGTGATGAAGTATCACATGGGACGGAACAGGGAGTACGCTGGCGTCATCCATCAAACCGGGGCCTTCCAATCCCAGGCGGGTGTGGTTCTGAGATGGAGCCGTGAGGTGAGCCGTTGTTACATTTGTTCCGCTCGCCGTGGTAATAGGAATTGACGTGTGCTCCGCCTCCCCGTCTGCATCCTCGTTGTAGATATCCTGCGCGACTGTGCTAGTCATGCCAAGCAGTGATCGCCCCTGCTGTCGCCTGTGTTCACGTTCCCGCTCCCTTTCCCTCTCGCGCTGTCGCTCGCGGCCCCTTGTCGAAGGTGGAGGTCCGACTTTAGTGTTCAAAATTAATTTGTCCAGGTGCCTGGGTAGAACCGGAGCTGGGGGGATATTTGGCGCAGGAACGTGTGGCTGGCTGTTGATAGCATGTCCTGATTGGTCATACTCTGTACCAGCAGTGTAGGAAAGATAAGCCTCCTCTTCACCAGCAGCGGCTACAAGCTCAGGAGGAATTTTGTCTGTCCACTTAGACGATGCTCCCGTTATGTCCGAAGCGGAGCGAGGGTCGATCATGGAGCCATGAGTAGAAGTCGTGGCTGACCAGAATGAATGTACGTGTGGATGAACAGGGTGTTTTGCAGGTGTGACTGGTATGGCTGTAGCATGAGGCGGGGTCAAGCCAGAGACTGGAACTGTGATATAATTGGCCAGGCTGCCTTCATCATCGACAGCTGTTGGGAGATCATCGGCTAAGCGCCATTGCTCGTCGACGATGAACCGAATATGATGTGTCCCAGGCATGAGCGATACCCAAGTGGACCAGAAAGAATCCGTAGGGTGGTCACTGGTACTTTGTGGATCAGCAAGATGAATAAATTGGTACAACATGTACACACTCTGGCTCCAAGCTTGTGCGCCCCTTCCAGTTGTCGTCACCAGCGCGAGCAAGGGCAACAGACTTTCCTCTTCCATGCCAGATGATTTGGACGTTTACGTGTTCTCCTGGTTCATCCAAGGGCTGGATAGCACGAATAGGCATGGGCTGGCCATCTTCGTCTAGATCATTGGTGGTGGAAGCCGCAAGTTCATCCTCGGCCTTGTGTAGTGCAAGAGGAATCGTCGAATGGACAGTCTCCGGCACAAACCCCAGATGATCAGGTTGCTCGGGCTCTTCAGCCTGGTCCACCAAGTAGAGCTGTTGCATGCGGGGCTGCGCAGCAGCCTGACCGCGTGAAGCAAATGAATGGGTAGAATTGTATTGCAGGGGAGCGCCTCGCAGGTGACGGTGACCTCGACCACGGTCATGGTGAGGAACTGGGATATGAGTTGACGGAGGCTGATCAAGCAACAACTCCGTAGAGAAGCTGGATGTATCGGCTCCTCGTCCATTGTTCGGTAGGGCTTGCCTTCCACGAGGAGAAGTGCCTGTATTGGAGGTATTATTTATCATACCATTGTTCGAACCTGTAATTGGAATCGGGATTGGGATTGGGGAAGTATTTCTTTGTTGTTGACGGTATGATGATAAGGGTGATGAATTTGCAGAGCTGTGATGCGGGGCTACAGGGGTCAAAGAGAGTAACGCAAGATCTGGTAGCTCCAGAGACCTTTTCTTGGTGCGTAGGGAAGGGTGGGGCTGATTGGGATTAGGAGATGGTGAAGCAGACTGAAGGTGTCTGCGACTAGGTGAATCGTGTCGTGATGGTCGGTTGTGGTTAGTGTTGGACGTTGTGTTTCCCATCGCGCTGATCGTCACGTCCGTCCTCGAAGGCTCGTTTGCACTCGGTTTTGTGTCGCCAACAGTGAGCTGAATGGACGTAAAAGAACACACTTGATTGTTGCGAATATTTCACTCCCTTCGCCCGATATGTATTAGCATTTGTAATGTTATTATTATTCATGATATGTATTAATTTAATTATTGTGATCCTCCACAAAACTTTGGGGCCTATCGTTGCAGTCTCCCCCCACTCGAGATCATCAATCATGGCTGATAACGTACAGAGCAACGTTACTGACAATACGTCTGCATCCTCCCCGAATCCATCATCGATCTCTGGCGATGTCGTCGAAACGAAGTCTGGACTCCTCATCCCCGAGTCCAGAGATGGGTTTTACGGTTATAACGACGAAAAAAGCCTACAGCAAGTACGTCGTTGCTAATCGGTTCCAATGAAAGCCAGACCTATAATTCTACCCCTTGACCAGATGGAAGAGAGAAAATGGGCTCATCGTCGCACATCTGAAGTCTCCACAGTCGCAATCCCTGGTCTCTCAGATAGCACCTCGTCGCTTGCCGGGGGATTCGGGCTTTCAGCAATTCGCGGGGCCTTACAGTCCCAGATGAACGAGGATCAGAGTATTGCATCACCTTGCTTCGAAGATGAAGACAAAGTGCACACTGTTGAGCCACAACTGCAAAGTGCGCGTTTTTGGAATTAGTTCGAACAACGTGACAACTGAGGCGCATTCCAGTGCACGCTTCCATTACGCCTGAGATGGCACATACATTCCAGCAATTCCAACGATGCCTCGAGCTACGCGACAAATTTATAGCGAGATCTCTCCAGAGACTGGGTGATAACCCCAGAGACCATGACGGTCAATTCAATGGAATAGCTGAAGGATATGCAGACGTCTCGGGCGTAAAGCCGAATGTCGGCTTCGCCGACGCATCCTATGTTCCAGACAGCCCGTACCAGCCTTGGAATATCTACCCAGGCCTCCACCTCCGCACTGGCACTTTTCCGCCAAAAAAGATGTGTTTACCGCTGACGGTCATGTCACTCCAGACGATGAGGAGTTTGATTTTTCAAAGTGTGGAGATCCCAGGGCCGCACGCATGGGAGTTCGAGATTGATGACAAGGGAGTATACCAGGTGTATCGTGCTGCTGAAGGTGCGCGCGGCTTTGTCCTGCTCGTCACAATATCTAATCATATGCTGTAAACCTCAGACAAACAGCCACTTTTTGACATTCCATCTGTCAAGGAATACTTTGTTGATCTCGACTATGTTCTCGAGGTCATATCTGACGGTCCCGCCAAAAGCATAGCGTATCGTAGACTGAAATACCTTGCAAGTAAATTCGAGATGTACAGCC